ATTAGGCCTACTGGGCCTATGAAGCAATATCATATCTTATCGTCCCGATCTCACGACAACCATCTGTCAGAAATTTAACCAAAAGGTCATGGGTTCCCCAAGATAGTAAAAGAATTGATCTGGAGATGCACGACGCTCAATCGACTCACGACGAACGGACGAGATAGTTATTATCTGAGCCAATCTTTACAGTTCCATTGTGAAGAACCGCCTTCTCCACCAGAGGGCTGGGGGGGGGGTAACTGTTGGAGAGGAATTCTATCTCCCTCTACTAGTCCCATCAAATAACTAGGCCCAACCGATCGTCATTCGCAATCGGTCCAGAGGTCAAATCTACCGGGAAGAAGAACAGTTTAAAGGATGATCAATCAGTTAATTGTCACAATCGACCGATCTAATCGAGTAATGACGGCCCAACCGACTTACCCCTAACTCGTAAAAGCCCATTAAACGAGTTTAGGCCCAAACTTCCTAGGGCGAACGAGCTCTAGAAAATGAGAGACGAGGTCAAATGGGAGCTATAAAAGGAAGAGAGAGGGTGAAAGGAAAAGGATCCAAAAATTGAGACAAGAACACTGACCACAAGATTTAGGATTTTACTATCGATCAAACCTTTTTTTAATCTGGTCGGACTTTCACAAAGCTATGACTTTTGTACTTTTCCTTGATTCTCTCTGTAATCTCCTCTTGTTATCAACTCTGATTAATAAAACGTCTTTGAAGAACCCACAAATCAAATTTAGTTTTTCAATCAGTCGATCATATGAAACTGAGATTCAACAACAATGCCATTGATTTGTTAAATAAGTTCAACATTTGATTTTATCATTTACACGTAGTTGATATGTTAGTTATGTCAACATATATAATTTGAAACCATCGTTTTCGTTGTCTTAGTTACAAATCATATATATAATGCCACAGTTTCCTCTCTTCTAAAGGCATCCACGTATGCAATCTTTGAAGTTTGTGGGTCCCATTTATTGTTTGGTTTAATTTGGTTGTATAAGTTTATAGATTGGTCCGGTTTAGTTTGTAGGAATATGATTGTCATTTGGTCTGACTATTCTTTTGCGTGTGGTTTCATAAATGCGTAAATGTGTTGTTCATTAAAAAGAAGCGTAAACGTTGCGTTTTGTATTTCGTTCATCAGATTAGAGCTTACAGAACTCAATCCGTAGTTTTCGCTTTTCATGATCTGCAAAACTAATATTTCTCTTCTCATCTCTTCACCTCCCCTGTCGTTTTCTCTTCAATGTTGATCAAATGTTTTCCCTATTTCTCATCTCTACTCCTTTACTTCAACAGCGATGTTAATGGCCACTCCCTCATATCATATTGATTACTTTTTTTAAGAAGTTTATAAATGGCTAAACGGAGACCTCTTCACTTCCCCTATATATTTCACTCTGATATATGATTTTACCCACTCCATAGACATGTCGAAAAGCTACGGTACGGCATGGCTTTGTCTTCTCTGTTCGTTAACGACATTGTTCCCGGGCCTTGGGAGAGGTGAAGCTGATCTTCAGGGTCATTCATTTATGGTAAGCCCGGAATCCAGCATGCTAATTGGGCTCGAAATGCTCATAAAGGTGTGAACAAATCTTTCTAATCCTCTATTTTTCTTGCCCATGTGTATCTCACATCAGTGGTTCTTCAAATGGAGCTTGAAAACTAATAGAGCTTACTATGATACTTTGCAGGCTTCTCACATATCCACATCTACAAGGTACACGAGAGGCTAGGGCTCACAATTTTTTTTTTTTTTTTTTTTAACTGAACAATTCATTGGTTTGTCTCTTTGTTGAATCTTTATAGTTGATAATTTGGATCTTNTATCTCACATCAGTGGTTCTTCAAATGGAGCTTGAAAACTAATAGAGCTTACTATGATACTTTGCAGGCTTCTCACATATCCACATCTACAAGGTACACGAGAGGCTAGGGCTCACAATTTTTTTTTTTTTTTTTTTTAACTGAACAATTCATTGGTTTGTCTCTTTGTTGAATCTTTATAGTTGATAATTTGGATCTTTTCCTTACGTACTATGCATATAAGTGTGTGAGCTAAGCTTGCTTGATGAATTGCTTGGCAATTGGTTTACCTTTTGATTAAAAAAGATCTTACTTTTGGATCTTATTTGCAGGCGTATGTCACCCCACAACAACCATGAGTTTATTCCATTCATCCCTTGTGAAGCTTCCATGGCGGCGTCTCAAGATTTCAAACCCATTAATCTGTCTCCTTTGCAAGCTTTTCTAACTCATCTTCCTGTCTCCCCAGGTAAGCTGACCTCAAAATGACACAGACTACTACTATACTAAAGTAAGAGTTATTTTTCCTCTGGCAAATTTACAATGATATTTTGAAACACAGATTTGTGAGGGAATGACAACACATGTGATTGATACGTCTGCCATCCACAGCTTCAAGTCAGAAGGAATACCAGGTGAAACAGATCAGTACTCAAGCTCCTGCAGAAAAATACCAGGTGAGCTAAAACCTCCAAACTTAATTTTGTATTTATAGTGATTTGTAGCTCAGAAACGATATTTAATATTTGAGTTGGTCAGCCGAGAGTTAAATGGGGAAACTCTATAGGGATCGTGTCAATAGATCTGCAGTGGAAGTCCAAGCCATGTCCAGGTCTATGCAAGACCAAGAGGATGAAGCTCATGTAAGATTATGTTTAATTTAATCATTCTCTGAACCTCTCAGTTTGGAAAACACGCACACACACTAAATGAATAAAAAAGAGTATTTGTTTATTGTGTGATCCAGTTGGAGTATGAGTGTGCAAGAGATTTTATCAGAATGGTGGCTATGGGGATGTCAATTTAAGAGAATTTGGTGTCGACATTCAATTAACGAAAAGGGTACTCTACACCTCTGAAACTGGCTCCGGATCAAATATTATAATAAAATAGTTGAATATAGACTACTGGTTTCTGTCTTTTTGTTGAAACAATTTCTCAGACTGGGAATCAAGGTATTGTTTTACTATATTCACGTTTTATTTTTGGAGATTTCTTTTAAGATCATTCGCTATAGTTTTGACTCTGTTTAATGATTCAGTTTATGTATTTTTTTGCATGAGAAAGAACTAGCTCACAGATTTTGAAAGAGTAAAAACTAGATTTGCATCCTACAAAACCATGGTAATTTCAAGCATTTAATTGTGCTCTCATGCAGCTTAGTTGTAGTGATGGGAAGACAATTTTAGACCACTTGGTAACCTTATTTTTGTGGAGTAGCAACATGTTTGTTGCTTTTATTGTTTTTACCTTTATTTTATATTATTCATGACTGGGAATTGATATCACTTTATCTTACAGGATTCTAAGCAAGTTTGTGTTCAGAAACATTGTGTGCTTGACACTACTCTACACATGTGGGTGAAAATTTTGTTTTTTTATCTGTTTCCATATGCACTATTATTCAATGGAAAAAAGTTAAGATGAATGATGACCAAAAGTGCAATTGCAAGATTATTTTTCATCTATTTGTTTATTCTTTTTTATGTATTCTGTGAGGTTCCATGCAAGAAAATAAAGACGCAGCCAAAGTTCTTAATTTAGAGTCATTGTTGGTTTATATGATTTAAATATAAAGCTTTGGTAATGATTTATTTAAACAGTTTGTTCTTTAGTTTAGTTTGGTTTTATTTGTACAATTATACTACTTTTACATTTGGATCAAACTTTTATTTCCATTGTGAAACTGATGAAGTTGATATTAGAAGATTCTAAAGTAAAAACCAGTTTGAAAATTTTACAATTGTTCTACAAAACTTTTAAAAATAACAAAATATTAAATCATAACTAAGTTTAGTTAGTTACTCATCTACTTATCATTCTATATATGATTTCCAGTACTAACAAACAACAAACCGTGAGTTCGAAATCAATATAATTTGTTGTGGAAATCCACTACTTTACTGTTAGTTGTGGAATCCATAAGTTTTGAATTATGCACTTTGTTATGTTTTATATTGCTTCCAAAGCTATCAACCCGATGAAGACGTTTCTGCGGAGCAAATCCAGAATGCTGATGAGAAAGCAACTCTATTAAAGTGGCCAAATAACCCGGGGATGCCAGATTCTGATCTTTTTGACCGTGATCAGTTTTGTTTTGATGGCCAATTTTATGTCGTGCTGTCTAGAGTAAACTACAGTGAAAAGCTTTAAGATTTTAGACATGAGCAGCCACATATACCGAAAAACCTTCAACGACCTACCAATAACAACAAGTACGTTATTTCATTTTCTTATCAAACTAATTTTACACTAACTTTTATTTTAAAACTTAAAAGATCACAAGCACACGATCAAAACATCAATAACTTAAATCCCTAAATAAGCAACATACAAATCATTAACAATCACTTCTTTTTTTTCCTAATCATTCAAATAAACATCAAAACAAATATCCCAAACCAATTAGCTCAACTCTAACTCAACCACACATACATCAAATAAGCTAAGCGAACGATTTAACAATTTAAAACCAATATAAGACCAATCCACATACTAAGCTGCAAAAAGATTAGTCTTCAACAAAAGCTAACATACAAATTTACCATAACTCTTTACTCCACCATAAATCCTAAAAAAATTACAAATTACATGTGAAAGACCATTTCAGAGCACATCATCTCCATATCTTTAGTATAAAACAACCATCCCGTCAAAATCCCCGCGCTTGCGCGGGGCTACGCACCTAGTTNATACTAAGCTGCAAAAAGATTAGTCTTCAACAAAAGCTAACATACAAATTTACCATAACTCTTTACTCCACCATAAATCCTAAAAAAATTACAAATTACATGTGAAAGACCATTTCAGAGCACATCATCTCCATATCTTTAGTATAAAACAACCATCCCGTCAAAATCCCCGCGCTTGCGCGGGGCTACGCACCTAGTTTCTAATATGATACAATTCCAAGAAACACATGCCTTCTAAATACAATCGTCATAGAAAAACAATTAGACGACGCCGGTTGATAACTTGGACTAGACCCCATTGTGAGAAAAGAAACTGCGTACCGTTTTAACTTCCTGATAATCCACTCTATGACGTTTGGATTCCTCAAAACAAGAAGGGATTACGAGCCAAATCAGCAAAGACCAAACAAAAGCAGAGATTTCATTATCCACTGAGCTTCTTCTGCCACATAGTCAAATCCACAATCTTTCTCTCTAGAGCTAAACCAAAAGAAGATGGCAGCTTCCTCTTCTCCATTTCTCCTTTTACCTCTAGGTAAGATACTCTGTTCTCTGAGTTGTTCTTCTACAAGCCGAAATTTTTATTCCTCTGTTTTTAATCTACTTTGAGTGTCTCAGTTCCTTGAATTCTTCTGCTAAGTTCCTAATCTGATTGAAAGATCTCATCTTTCTCGGTTTAGACTAAACCGGTTTCATCCGTGGCTTGAACAGTTGCAATTGTAATGTTTGCTTGTGTTGGGTTTTGAGAATTTGAGATTCTGGTTATTCATTTTCAGCATCTAGAAACGGTCCAACCCTCAGGACTCCAAGATGTATATCTACAAGAGTCATCATAGCTTCAGAAACAAGAGACAAAAGCTGTAAAACCAATACTCTTTCTAGCCGTAGAGAGGCAATGCTATTGGTTCTCGGCGTGTCAGGGCTCTCAATGAGCTACTCTCATGCTACTTACGCAGCTGGTTTACCTCCAGAGGATAAACCGAGGCTTTGTGAAGCAGAATGCGAGAAAGAGCTTGAAAATGTATGGTGAGATCACAACACAAAAACACCTTTTTGGGGATTCTCCATAGAATCTTTTTGAGTTCATGACATTGTTAATTGGATTTTCTGCTTCTTTTGAATATAAAGGTTCCATTGGTAACTACAGAGTCAGGGCTTCAGTATAAAGATATAAAAGTGGGTAAAGGCCCTAGTCCCCCTGTTGGTTTTCAGGTAAAAGAACTGAATCAAGCTTTGATGAAACCATCTTCTCAACCTTGTTGCTGAGATGGAAGGATTCAAAATGTTGCAGGTTGCTGCTAACTATGTAGCCATGGTTCCTTCAGGGCAGATTTTTGACAGGTGATCTTACAAAAAAAAACAAACGTTTTGATCTTCTTTAGCTGAATGAATCTACTATCATCAATTGGTCACATTCACTCAACTTGCAGTTCTCTGGAGAAAGGTCTACCGTATCTGTTCCGAGTTGGGTCTGGCCAGGTGATCAAGGGACTAGATGAGGGACTCTTGAGTATGAAAGCTGGTGGCAAACGCAGACTCTACATTCCAGGGCCTGTAAGTTCCTTTCTCATTAAGATTAATAGTAATCATGTTTATTGTAAGAGAGCTTCTAATTTATGTTTATTGTGATTATGTGAATGTTACATCATAAGTTGGCGTTTCCAAAGGGTCTAGTCTCAGCTCCGGGGAGGCCAAGAGTTGCACCAAACAGTCCAGTGGTATTTGATGTGAGCTTAGAGTACATTCCAGGGCTCGAGTCAGATGACGAGTGAAACTATTTTTTTTTTTTTTTTTTTTAAGTTCAGATTGTAATATGAAATACATACATTACTTGCTTTTATGTAATGTTTTCTCATTTCTATTTCTATTTTCATTTTGCTGTAAAAAAAACAGCCTCGGCTTTTCAGTTCCTTCACCCTTACATAAAAGTTTGGTGTCTCATTTCTATTTTCATTTTAGGCCCCCAAACTTTCTTTTGGTTTTCTCTAGTTGAAGAAAGATAATGATGATGATTGACAACACAAGATTCTCATCATTTTTCAGAGCTTGAGACAATATCATCGAGTAAAACTTAGAGATGTTATAGTATAGTGGGGCCAAAATATCTAGGCAGGACTGCATATAAATTTGTATTTTGGCAAAATCAAGGTAAAACTCTGTAACAAAACAAACCGGTATTATGATACAAGCACGAGATCATTAGAACATAAATTGGCATATATGCTTTTTATTTGGTATTGTACTCAGACGACTTGGGACATTAATTATTGCATGAATCACATACAACCATAAACTCATATCAAAGTCTAAAAAGCTTAGTGAAAAGGGGTCTTCTGTTTGCAATGGCCGGTTGAACGGTTGCGTTTAGCGATTTAAACAGTAATAATAAGCGGTGTATGATTTCTTGTAATATATATAATCGTCTTTGCAGTAGTCGCAGAAACATTTGATAGGTTTGTTTTTGTGTTTCTTCACGCATTTACCGCCTTTAGCTCCTTTGAAACAGGGCCGTGCTTCTTAAAGAAAATTTAAAGCATTGGCTTAGGGCATTATTTGATGCAAAAATTATACATAGGGCATATTTATGGAACTTTTATTTTGTAAGATCTCTTGAAATCTGTTTGATAAGTTTGTATTTAAACTTAAATCAAAAATACAGTAACAAAAAAAAATAAACTTAAATAAAAATTACAACTAATATTTTTAAAATTTTCTACAACCACAAATTGATTCTAAAAACTAATTAACTACAACTAGTCTTCAGTTACAAAGATATTTATTTTGTTATTGTACTTCTTCTGCATATGTTAATTTTATATGTTATGAAAACATTATGATAAAATCATATTATTTTGGAACTGAAATCACTATTGATATCTTTAGATAAGTTTTAATATATTATTCTTTATTTTAAAATTGTAAATTAATTTTGTGATTGAAAAATATTAGTAAATATAATTTCTATTAAAATAATATTTTGATTTATTCTATTTTCAAGTTAACATCAAATTGTAAAAAGTATATTTTGAGTGAATTTTCCTATGAATCTTTTAGTTTACAGAAAAAATTGCATTAGTCATTGCAAAACAATCTGGTATAAGTTAAATATTTATTTTTTGACCTGGGGCATAAAAACCCCCTGTCACGGCTCCGCTTTGACACTCCTGCAGTTTTGACGACAGAACGTAGGAAAGAACTTAGGGTTACAGAACGTGGAACCCACGTATCCGCTGTACTCCTCTAGGCATTTGAACTTTTTCTCAGCTTCTATATTCTTCTCCGGCGACTCTACATATATAGTTATAATAATCTTATATAAGTTGTGACTTATGAGAGTGGTACTTCCCGTCCCTGGGTTCGAGTCTAGGTCACTGTAGAATTTACATATACGCTGCAGCATCCGAGACCGAAAACCGTTATAGGTGAGCTACATAGTGACGTTCTTGTAGTGTCCTTGCTCTCTTCGATCTCTAGTCTGGACCACTTCGAGAGGATCAGGATACTCAGTTAGCACTACAAGAAAATACCGCGATTCTGACGGAAATATTCGTCGGAATATCGTTGGAATAAGTGTATTCCAAAGATATACCGACGCAAACGGTCGTCGCAAATTTTTCCTTGGAAATGCCGAGACCAAAAATTCTGAGGAAATTCTGATAAACCATTTCGTAAGAAGTGTTCGTCAGAATTCCCTCGGATTTTACCGAAAGAGGTGTCCTCGGAAAAATTCCCAGAGAGAAAAGTTATCGGAATATTCCGACGACAAGTTTCCTCGGAATTTTCCGAGGAACGAGAGTCGTCGGAATATTCCGAGGACCAGTTCCCTCAGAATATTCTGAGGAACTGTACTTCTTCGGAATATTTCAAGGATTCTTGTTTCTTGGAATATTCCGAGGAAACTGTCGTCAGAATATTCCGAGGAATATTCTTCCTCGGAATATTCCAAAATTTATATTTTCTAAAAAAATTTATTAATTAATTGTTTTTAATTAAAATTCGAAAATATAAAATAAAATTTGAAACTGAAAATATTTTAGATAATAATATTAGAGTTGTTCAAATAAAAAAACATTCAGAGTTTTTGAAAAAAAAAAACTACGGGAATTGCTCGTTCGGGTACATCCGCCTCATCATCTCCATCATGCGCTCGTTCTGCCTCCTCGAGTCTTCCCATCCCTTCTCTTGTTCCGCCATCTTCGCCTCCAACGCAGCTATGCGGTAATCCTTGTCCTGCAGCTGCTTCATAACCATTGGATCAATAGGCGGTTGTGATGTAGGAGGAACCAATTTGGATCGACAACCCAAACCGACCAAACAATCCTTCTTCTTTGGAACCGACTGAAAGAGAAAATAAACAAATTTTAGTAATAGGAAATATTATAAAATAAAAATAAAGAACTAAATGAATTGAATTTTTATAAAAACATCTTACCGATTCAACAATCTCGTTGATTCGAGCTCGGGACAGGGAGATCGAGGCCGTCGAAGTGGAGTCGAGCTCGGTTTGAAGCTGGGATAGACAGAGCTCTTCGTCGTCTTGAGAGTGGTGATCATGTCGACCACCTCCTTCACAAGACCATCATCAATATCCCCGGTATGCTTGCTGGTATGCGCCACCTTCAATAGTTTGAAATCATCAACCGGCTCGTCATCACTTTCTTCCGCCTAGAAAAAAATATAAGTTAAAATAAACATTAGAAATCAGAATAAATGCATAAAAATAAAATCAAAATACTTAAATAATTGAAAAAAAGAAGAGATTCAACTTACCATTTTATCTCCGAGAGTGGCAATACTCATGGCAGCCAAGTTGTGCTTGGCCACGCCCTTCCCGCCACGATCGATGTTGCGGTTGGTGGAGTTGGTGGTGGAGGTTGCTTCTGTCTCGCCTTTCTTCCAATGCTCACACAAGTCCTTCCAAACCGTGTCGTTCGTCGACTTCGGGGCCTTTTAATAAATAAAAAAAAATTAAATAAATCTAATAATAGATTAATAAATTAAAAAGTAATTTAATAAATTTAAAAATAGATTAATAAACCGATACCTTATTGACGCGTCATTTCTTCTTCCACTCATAGATCTGCTTCCCATAGTTTTCCATAACTTTATGGATGAAGGCGTTGCGGATAAAGGGCGTATGATCGGGATGCCACGTGAACTCTTGCTGAAAAAAACAAAATTAGTAAAACATTAATATTAAAGATGAAAATTATAACTTAAAAAGTAGAATACTTACCGCAAACTGACGAGACCACATCTCATGTTCGGCGGGAGGAAAGTGAGTGAACGTCGGATATCTCTTCTTGAGGTCCGAGTACATCATCCGGTTGATCCATGAGCTGATCCCGTTCCCGGATCGGTCGAACCTATAAAAAAGGATCAAATTATTAATAATGAATAAACACTTAAAGAAAAAAAAAGACTCTTAATTACCATGTTTGACCTCGTCCCGTAGGATACTCGGTGAGATAGAGACGATGCTCACGACCGGGCTGTTGAATCAACTGTTCAATAGTCATCGCTCCCGGAACGACTGGAGGATCGGGAATGTTCTACGACGGCGAAGAATCCTGAGAACCCCGAGAGAGGTTCCCCGAATCACTAGAACCTCGTGGTACGGAACGACAAACTCGAGACCGACTCTGATCTCCAGTAGACCAATAAATTAAATAAAAAATTAAAATAGTTTTAATGATATTAAAATACAAAAATAGGTTTTAATCACAAAAAATATTTTTAAAAAAACTTGTAATAATTTAAAAAATAGTTTATAATCACAAAAAAAGTTTTAGTAATATTAAAAAAAACCTTTTAATAAATAGGAAAATACTTTATTAATTATAAAAATTATTTTAATCACAAAAAAAGTTTCAGTAATATAAAAAACCCTTTTAATAAATAGGAAAATACTTTATTAATTAAAAAATAGTTTGTAACCACAAAAAAAAGTTTCAGTAATATAAAAAAACCTTTTAATAAATAGGAAAATACTTTATTAATTAAAAAAATAGTTTCAAAAATATAAAAAACCTTTTAATTCCGAAAATATAAAAAAAAGTTTCAGTAATATAAAAAAAAAATTTAATAAATAGGAAACTACTTTATTAATTAAAAATAGTTTCAAAAATATAAAAAACCTTTTCATAATTCCGAAAATAGATTTAATAAACAAAAAAAATTATAAATCAACAACAACAACATCACAATCAACACAAACACCATCTAATTCCCCTATCTACCAATCACCCTAACAATTCCCCTAAAACATCTAAAATCCCTAAAACTAACTTCAAATCCCAATCAAAACAACTATGGATGATGGGGAATGAGGACTTACATGATTTGGGAATGAAATAGACCAGGAGATCGGAGTTTCACGGCGGAGAATCGAGAGAGAGAAGGGGAGATTCACGGCGGCGAGGAAGAAGAGAAGAGAAATGAGGAAGAAGAACCCTCTCGGGTTAATAAAACCCAAAATTCCGACGGAAACGGATTCCTCGGAATTCCGCCGGAATCTATATAATTTGATTTTCGCGAAATTTTTTGGCGGTTTGATTTCTCGGTTAATAACACATTCCGAGGAAAAGTCCGTCGGAATTTACTCGGAATAGACTTTAAAAGAGGAATATGCTCTGCATGTCTTCCTATTGGTGGGAGGGTTCCACGGAATATACCGAGGAAACCTTGTTTGGGGTTTCAAAACCTAAATTTTTGATATGGTACACCATTGCTTGAAGAATTTGACAGTTTTTCAATGGATAATATTGAAGATTCTTTCAATAGATGCCCATAAACCATGAAATTACAAAATTTAGAAAACGAGTACACGTCTTGTCGTTTCCGTTCATTAAAGTGTATAAATGTTTATCTTGTTCTTTAGGAATTTCCTTTATACAATTGGACGAGAGTTTATTACTTGAAAACACACCAGTATTTTACTTTATAACAATCTAAGACAGTAAATAAGGTTAATTTAAGTCACATGTTCAATTTCTAAACGGAAAAACGTTATTTCGGATCAAATATCTTGATTCCTCGGAAGATAACCCCTAAATTCAAATCCCTAAATGCGAAGTTTACTGAGAATATGATGTTTTTCCTCGGTATTTTCTCGGAATTGTATAAAAAAAAATGGATTGTCGATACTACTCTGTTTCCGAGTCATCATCATCACCAGATGAATCTGAATCTGGATCTTGGTGAAACTCTCCAATCTCTGGTACATCCTCTACGTGAACGATGGCTTCCTCTCCAAAGTCGGTAAATCGACGACAAGGTCAACTGCAGCTACATCTTCTGATGCACTTAAGTTGCCTGATGTGTTTGTTTGTAGTGGGTCTTCCAGCTCAGAACTTCCCTGAACTCGGCCTCTCCGGTTGAGTGATGTGATAGTGACCCATGGATCATCTCTGTTCCTAACCCGGGGTTACTTGATATAACAAACCTGTAAATTAACATTTAAAAAATTATTTGTAAATTTGTAACTTAATATATATATTAATACATATTTAAATAATTGACATATATATTTAATTACCTGGTCGGCCTGAGAAGCAAGAATTAAAGGATCATAATATTGCAGCTTTCGCCTCGAATGTACTGATGTAACACCAAATGCATTTGTTCTCACACCTCGATCCGGAGTGTTGTCGTACCAATCACAATAGAAAAAAGTACAGCACAATCCACCATGCCCGGATACTTGATTTCCAAAATCTCCAGTATGTTTCCGTAGTATACATCAACTCCTGATGCAGAACAAATACCAGCATCATAAGTCGTACTTGAACGTCTCCTCTTTTGAGTTGTGAATGCATATCCTCGAGTACAAAAACTCAGATATGACTTCACAACATACTTTTGTCCACACACCATCTCGCGTATCCAATCGTCAAATGTTTCACCTCTCTCCATACGAGCAGACACCTATTAATAGATATTATCTTCAATATATGTGAATTAGTATAAATATGTGATAAATAATATTATAATTTGTTTAAAGCACTCACATAAGAAAACATCCATCTAGCAAATTCTCTCTACTTTAGTTCTTCTAGTTCCTCCTCTGTGGCGTGTCTATGTTCGAACTGCTTTTCTGCCATACAAATCATGTACATATACAATAATGTAATTAATTAATTAAGATTTAAATTTCAACTTGGTAAAATAAAAATTTGTAAATTTATTTACCTCTCACATTGAAGAAGAACATCTTCGCAGTTGGTGAGCAAATATGTTTGCAAATGACTGTGCTCATGCTCAGTAAGTCGACGGTCCTTTGGTTTTCTGCTAAGTTGCCCAACATCTGTGAAGATGTCTGGAACCCTAACATAATATGTTGCCCTTTCGCCTCTATCATCATGCCGAGCAGGTCTTCTGTTTTTGGTCTGCACTTCTGCT